ACCTCCATCCACGTGAGTTATACGACCGGAACAAGCGTCTCTTTAATGCGAAAAGTTGGTGAACATGATTCACTCTAAGTTTTTGCCGCTTAGTTTTCAAGAATGTTTAAGCAATCTCCTTGCTTCATTAGAGGAACGACAATCCACCAACCGAAACGTCTTTCAGTGTGTATATTATGAGTTTAGTGGCTTCAAGATGACCACGTGGTCGCTCAAAGGGCTCGCTTGTTGGAGTTCGTCTCAATCATGCACCCTAGGATCTGTTGTACGCGGGAAGTGCTACTTCAAGTCGCCCGCTTTTAGGCCGGAGTTCATTTAGGCCCGCTAACGAATTGATGCTATTAGCCACTGGATCTTCGCTGACACCACTTTGTGATCCAACNCGAGCCAATAAAAAATCACTCGATTGAAGTTTCAGTTACCTCTGTTCAGGACCACACTCCATTGTAGTCGTGCCTATAGAGTCCTGTCTTTCGGGATCACGCTAATTCATGAGTCGGATGAGCTGTTCCCAATTGCATGAGTAATATGTGAATGTCTACTCCAATGCACAAACCTAAGGGGATGCTTCTAAAAATATCGTCATATCTCTCGGATACTTATACATCTCCGGTAATAACCTTTCTTCATGCTTGCTTCAACTTGTTCCATCATCCCCAAATGGGGTGTATCCCACTACATTAAACATTCAGTTCTTTGGCCCTCAGAAAATATTTTCTTTGTGTTCTGTCTGATGATCACGTGTCGGTTAGCTGATCGCTGTCTCGATGCGGTCCTTTCTTGCTCCTACAGCGCTTGCACACAACAGAATGACCAAGTGGACATAGGCGTTATTATGCAATCTTTCAACTGGTAAGCCCCGTTTTAAAACACCCGTGTTGCCGGTTCGTTCGCAACGAATCGCCATACACGTCATCAGATAGACGGACGATCTGACCTTGTTTTCTGACTTTCTGGTTGCACAGTAAAAACGAACTGCTCTGGAAATCCCCTGTAGAATTGGGACAATCACACAGAAGTGTTGAAGATTCAGCCGTATGGCGTACCGCTCACGTGATGCTTGATGCGACTACTGGACCCAGGGATTACAAGGTGTGCTGATTCAAGTAGCATTAGTGTTGGCGTATTGTTTTTGATTCCAACATTAGCCAGTGTCTCAATTTTCCATTTTCGGTAACCCGACAGAACTTGAATTGTCATTGTTATACACTTATCTAATCCATCGAAGCTGAACATTTTCAATCTATTTTAATACTGTCACATCACCAATTCGATTCCTGTGTACAGTTCCTGTGTACTTCACTCTGTTGGTTACGGTCGTGAGGCAAGAATTTGGTAAGCAAGCTATCCATTCTTGCAACCATTTTATCACTCATCGCCTTGCTTCATTTGGCGTAGGTACGCTATCCTCAAAATCATTCGGGTTATCTTGTTTTTCCAGCTTAAGCACCTCGGGTGATTATTCTGCTGCTTTGATCTTTACTTTTGGTGCCTATAGTATCCCGATTAGATGTATTGACTCATCACCCTTCTCACGCATTCCTTATTTATTCGATAAGCATCACTTACTATCTATCGATGAGTGACTGCCGTCACTCACACGTACAAATGTGCGCTTGCAAGCCTATCACTGGAAATCTCCCTTCTCCGTTTCCTCCATCGATATTCGACCGTGCTGTGTTGGGTGCACAAATTTGGTTAAATGATTTTTTCACAAGATCTTTGATCTTTGGAAGTAGTACCAGAGTATGTTTCCGAATCGGTCAGTGAGTTTACAAACTTATAGGCAAAATCCGTATCCTTTCCACTGTGGAAAATAGATCCTAGTTGGATTGATAGGTTCACACTGCTGATGAGACCAAATTAGGTCGAACCAGTGCTCCAGTGCATCCTAGCTTTTCAGTTCACGTTTCATTTGCTCTTTACACAACCAAATTCACTATATGAACAAACCGAATTGTCCACTTCTCTCATGTTACATCCTAAATACTCAAGAGCTTAGTGAAAAAAAATCTTTGTTCCTTCCCTCCCTCCGCGTTCACGAACCGTAATGTGGTGATTTGTGCGTCAGTGCTCCCAACTTTGAGCAACCGAATACCGTCACGTGACTCGATAGATCGAATTCAATGAAGCTTTATGACATGGTAATTCTTCGAGATTTGTGATAGGTTTATTGACAATACAAATCCGCACGAAATTCCTATCCCATTGTTCGAATTTCTTCTCATTGCGTGACAGTCTATCATGATACACGTGATATCGTTGTAGAAATCCAGGTCTACACTAAAAGCATGTGCACCAATAATGAACCAATGCTGTGCAGGCAGCACCTCGCATTAGGAGCGATTCCCTAGTGAACTTATCAAGTTGCGGTCCCTCACATTGTTTGTACATCCTATCTTTGGTGACTGCGTAGTTCACTGACCTGGTAAATTTAAATTTCTGCGATTTTTTGAGTTAGTTTCTTCTTCTCCCAGCGAGTGAACCGCTTGGAATAATACCTGGTTACAAACTAGTGAGTAATCGAGTGCCTGTGAAAATGTTAACTGTGTACAGTGTATAGATTCCCGCCTATTAGTTTGCATTTTTTATTCCCGCTTCAATGGTGCGCTGTATGTTGGTGATGAAGGTTTTTCTAATCGATCAGCCTAGTTCCGTTACCCAGATACCTTTGCGCGTGATGTTCCGTTTGTTTATAGTGTGCTTTGGTGCGATAATTTTC